AGGAACCCGGGAAAAAGCAGGAATAGCTATTTTATTTGCAGACAAAGTAAATTTCAAACCAAAACTAATTAAAAGAGACAAGGAAGGCCACTACATCCTTGTAAAGAGAACAATCCAGGAGGAAGAGATGATAATCATAAATTTATATTCACCAAATACTAATTCCCCCAATTATACAAAACAAATATTAAGGGACACACACACACACATGAAACAAATAAGCACTAATACAAATAAGCACTAATACAATTGTAGTAGGGGACCTAAATACCCAACTGTCACAAATAGACAGATCATCTAGACAAAAAAGTCAACAACAAAATACTAGAACTGAGCCAAGCTTTTGAATAAATGTACTTAATTGATGTCTACAGAGTGTTCCACCCCACAAAATCAGAATATACATTCTTTTGGGCTGCACATGGCTCATTCTCCAAAATAGGCCACATACTAGCTCATAGAACATGTTTAAATAAATTCAAAGGAATAGAAGTTATCCCATGTATATTATCAGACCATAGTGCAACGAAACTGTAGATCAATAGCATAAGAAACTGTAAGAACTTCACAAACACATGGAAATTGAACAACACTCTCCTGAACAATCAATGGGTTACAGAGAAAGTCAAAGAAGAAATTAGACAGTTTTTACAAATTAATGGTAATGCCAATACAACGTACAGGAATCTATGGGACCCAGTGAAAGCAGTTCTAGGAAGGAAATTCATAGCAGTGAATCCCCACACTAGGAAAACAGAGTGGGCTCAAATAAATAATCTAAGAGTGAATTTTAAGATCCTAGAAAAAGAAGAGCAAGACAAACCCAAAGCCTATACAAGGGAGCAAATTATAAAGATCAGAACAAAAATCAATGCAATGGAGACTAAGAGAACCATATAAATAAATCAATGAATTGAAGAGTTGGTTTTTTGAAAGAATAAATAAAACTGATAAAACCTAAGCCAACTTTGTTAAAAAAAAGGAGAGAAAAGGCTCAGATCCATGAAGTCAGGAACAAAAAATGTGAAGTGACAACATATCCATGGGAAATCCAGAGGATCATCAATACCTACATCAGAAACCTGTACTCTAAGAAAATAGAAAACAAAGAAACAGATAGATTTCTAGATACATATGAATTACCAAAGTTGAATGAAGAAGATAGAAAAATTATAAATACCCCAATTGCAACCAGTGAAATTGAAAACGTAAATAAAAATTTACCAACAAAGAAAAGCCTAGGTCCTGATGGCTTCACTGCTGAATTCTATAAAACATTTAGAGAAGAACTACTGCCACTACTCTTTAAACTTTTCAGTGAAACTGAAAGGGAAGCAATACTTCCAAATTAATTCCTGGAAGCAAATGTTACTTTGATTCCAAAACCAGGGAAAGACACAAACAAAAGAGCAAAGCATAGGCCAATCTCCCTACAAACATACATGCAAAAATCCTCAATAAGGGGCCGGAGATTTAGCTCAGTGGTGCCGCCATGAGCCTCTCAAGCACAAAGACCAGAGTTCCATCCCCGGTACAAAAAAAAAAAAATCTAAAATAAGATACTGGAAAACAGGTTACAGAGGTTCATCAAGTTCATACATCCTGACCAAGTTGGATTTATCCCAGAGATGCAAGGATAGTTCAACATACAATAAATATAGTACACTATAGTAGCAAGAGAAAAACCAGATGATCATCTCAGATGCAGAAAAAAGCATTTGACAAAGTTCAACAACATTTTGTGATAAAAACCCTGCAGAAAATTGGAATAGATGGTCTTTATCTCAACTTGATAAAATCTATCTATGAAAAACCAACAGCCAACACCATATTAAATGGTCAAAAATGGAAAACCTTCACACTAAAATCAGGAACTGGACAAGGATGTTGAATATCATCACCCCTGCTCGATATAGTTCTGGAAACTTTAGCCACAGCAATTAGACAAGAGAAAGAAATAAAAGCAATAGAGATAGTAAAGGAAGAAGTGAAATTATCATTATTTGCTGATGATATGACACTCTACAGAGAAGACCCAAAAAACTTGCCGAAAGACTTCCAGACTTAATTTACTGATGCTTTCAGCAGAGTATCTTGATACAAAGTCAACATTTAAAAATCAGTAGCCTTCTCGTTCACAAATAATAGGCTCACTGAGAGAGAAATTAGGGAAACAATTTCTTTCACAACAGCTTCCAAAATATGAAGTATCTATGAATCAATCTAACAAAGGAAGCAAAAGACATCAGCACTGAAAACTATAGCACTCTGAAAAAAGAAATCAAAGAGGATATTAAAAAAATGGAAAGATATCTTTTGTTCCTGGGTAGGAGTGAAAATGTGAAAATGCCCATACTACCAAAAATGCTATACAGATTCAATGCAATCCTAATTGAAATTCCAACACAGTATATTTTACAAAACTAGAGAAAACAATCCAGAAATTCACTTGGAACCAGAAGAGACCTAAAATATGGCAGGGGGTATAACAACTCCCAACTTAAAACTATACTACAAAGTCACTGTGATAAAAACAGCATGGTACTGGCAAAGAAACAGACCCAAGGATCAGTGGAATAGATTGGAAGATACAGAAACAACTCCAGATGTACTCAGTTACCTCATCTTTGAAAAGGAAAGGAGTCAACCATCCTCACTGGAGGAAAGATAGCCTCTTCAATAAATTGTGTTGGAAAAACTAGATTTCATCCTGCCAAAGATTAAAACTAGACCCTTATCTTTCACCATGTACTAAACTAAAATCCAAGTGGATTAAAGAACTTAATATTAAAACAGAAACACTAAACTTCCTGGAAGATAAGTTAGGTAGACGTTTCAAAGACATTGGCATAGGAAAAGACTTTACATACAAATCCTCAGTAGCATGGGAACTAGCACAAAGAATCAACAACTGGGATCTCATCTTATTAAAAAGCTTTTGTACAGCAAGAGAAACCACCAACAAAGTTGAGAGAACACACAATGTTGGAAAAAATTTTACCAGCTGTTCTTCAGACAAAGGTCTATTATCTAAAATATATAAAGAACTCAAAATAATCAGACCCCCCAAATGTAAAGACCCGATTCAAAAATGGGCATCTGAAATGAACAGACATTTCTCAGACAAAGAAGTAAAAGCAGCAAAGAAATACATGAAAAAGTGTTGAACATCACTAGTCATTTGAGAGATGCAGGTGAAAACAACACTGCAATTCCATCGCACCCCAGAAAGAAAGGCTTGCTCTCAAGAAATCAACCAATGGCAAATGCTGGCAGGGTTGTGGGGAGAAAGGAACCCTTCTTCATTGTTGGTGGGAGTGCAGACCAGTGCAACCCCTGTGGAAATCAATATGGAGATAACTTATACAACAAATTGGAAGTCCCATTTGACCCAGGTATTCCCCTGCTGGGTATCTCTCCAAAAGAATTAAAAGAATCATATCACAGTGATATATGCGCACCCATGTTTATAGGGGCACAATTTGTAATAGTTAAAATTTGGAAACAGCCCAATTGCCCATCAACTGGGTACTGGATAAAGAAGATGTGGTTTTTCTATAAAATGGAATACTACTCAGCCATAAAGAATGAGAAACTAGAGTTTTTAATAGCTCAATGGATGCATATTGAGGCCACACTCTTAAGTGAAATAAATAGGACACACATGTGTAAATACCAAATAGTTTCTCTGGTGTGAAAAAACTGAAGTATAAATAGATTCAAATGGAATAATTGATAGCGTGAAATAGGAAGAAAATGGCTAAAGGGGAAATGGGAAGAGGAGGGGAAGGAAAGAAAGGAGAAGAAAAAAGTGAAAAAAGGAAAAAAATGGAAACAAAGTCTTTGTAAATAGGATAGGAGGGAAAGGAGGGGTATGGGGGAAAATAAGAAGGAAGATATATCATGTAAAGGTACAAGATCCCAAAGATGAATGTAACTGTACTATATACCTAAAAAGTACTAATAATCTAATGAAAAAATAAAATAAAAAATTGGAATTAGCAACAGAAGCTCCCTGGCTTATTAACAATAACTCTAAAATTTAATAAATGTTTTTTTGAGATAGTTTGAACATTTTCTAATGATCTTTCAAGTAATTAACTTATCCCTTTGATTTGTTTTTTACAACAACCAATAAACACAAATATATTTTGATTACTACAAAATATAGTAATCAGGTCTATTGTTGATTAATTTTCCTGTTTATAGAAGCTTCTTTCCTAACATGCTGTGTTTTTAGAATTTTTCTTTTCTTGCTTCTATTGCAACATAAACATTTTTTGCAAGTTAAATTACCTGAGGCTGCTACACCCCTATGCCTTTTTATACTATGTTATGAAACTCATACTAGAAAAAGAAACAAATTTAAATTAAAGCTGTATTTGAGAGTAAAGCTTTCACTTTTTATGCAACATCTAATTTTGTATAGAAAACCTGTGTATAAAAGAAGTCATTTGGTTAATTTAGAGCTTCTGACGTTGTAGCAAAAGAAGATATTGCACATCTTTGTATAATTTCTATGCAGGGTTTTGAATGTTGTATGACTACTGTTTATTTCTAAAGGAATAGTGAATGTTTGTGTTTTTCCCTGTTCTTTTTCCCTTCTTGATTTTAATCATCCAGTTAACTAATCTAGTGTCTCATTAGCTTTAGATTTTTCAAAACATATATTCTGATTAATTTGTTTGTATTTGGCCAACAATATGCTTCATTTCATTGCATTCATTCATTCAAAAATATTTATTATACCCTAGTTATGAGATCAGGCACTGTGTAAGATGCTGGGGATACAAAGTTGAATAAAATGTACTCCTAAAACTAATTTTCCATAATTTTTGAAGCAGATAAGTGATTAACTCATCTTAATCCAGTGGAATAAGTGAACAATCATAGAAGATGGGAAGGAGGAAGAGGTATGCATGGTTTATTTGAAAATATTAAATATAAGATAACACATGTTTTAGGGATCCACATGTAAAGAGATAATGAAAACTATTTACTGAGGATGATATTCCAGAATCCGAATGTGAATATAATGTTCTTCTGTGCCTTGACAGAGCTGACAGAGTGTGAGTCTCACTTAGGTCAGAGTAGTATGATGAATTCGATTGACAAATCTCTTGACTACTTGTGTTTTGATTTGAGGAGCTGAATGAAATAAAATGCGTATAGTGTTTATACATCTCTTTTAAATTCTTTAAATGTCAATGACTTTGTTTAAAAATAACAATAAATTATAAGCACCTTTTTCCATTTGGAGGAGAAATAAATTATATCATAGAACTACCTAGATCTTAAAAGGAACTTCCCATCTTGTCATAATCCTATTTTTTTTGTTGTTGTTGTAAACAGTCACATAAGAAAAATTCTTCTCAATGTTAAGGGCTATATACATGAAATACATGTCACAGGAAAATTAATCTAATAATGCTCCCCCCACTCAAACACCTATAAGACCCTAAGGAGCTCAGCCCTCATATTGGAATGTCATTCCTAGTGTAGCTATAGCTGAATATTTGGTATATACACTCTTAACTCTATAGGTGCTCATGAATCTGGGCCTTAACTGTTTCCTTAGAGCTCCTCTAAATATTGGTGATCATTATGTACTGTAAACATGTGCTAATAAAAAATTAAAATTAAAAAGCTTAGATGCAAAAACATGAAAAGGTTCTTCAATCAAGAGGTTAGTACAGAAAAGTAGAAAAGACATTTTCTAGCTTAGTGTTATAAAAATGGGAATATAGAAATGACAGAACTGTTGAGAACAATTGACTAGAGAACCTTTTCATTTTTTCATACATTGTTATTCTTATAATTTTCTCACTTTCCTCAGCAATAGGTATGTTTATCTTTCTATAATTGAAGCTGTACATGATTTTAAGCCAATAATTTAAAACCAATATCCAAAGATTATTTGTCTTAAGTAAACCTATAAATTATTGCACTTTTTCTGGCCTCTTTTTTTCTCTTATTATTTTCTCTTATTTTTTCAGGCTTCAAGATTCTTAAGAAATAGCATTATATATTTTATAGTACAGTTATTATACCTCTGTAGACGCTTTTCTGACAAGGAAACGTAATTCTTGTATAATGAGCTCACATTCATGAAATACTGTACTGAGATATCTTTCATTTTTTAAAGATTGAGCTGATATCATAAGCCTATATAGCCATTATTTTCTAAATTACATTAGTTTCTAAAAATAGCATCCTAGTATAAAAATAGCATTACCATGTCATTAAAAATAAAACAAAACAATATTTTATTATCAAGTAGAAAATTACTTCTCCATCTGCCACTAAATTTAAAAGTCAAGAATTGTTTCTTAAATATGAAAAAAATTCAGAAAATATATGTTCTCATAGCACTCCCATTTGATTAATTCAGACTTTGCTTCTTGACATTACCAAAGATTAAATTTTTATTAAAAATAAACAAGTTTAGAAGTAAAATATTAAATTTCTTAATTTGTATTATTCCTAAAGTGAATTAATCCTGCTATCTATAAATAAAATTTTAGTGAACAACTTTAAGAAAAACATTTTTTTCTCATTGAATTTATTGGTACATTTTAGTCATACAGCACAGTTACATTCATCATTGGGATCTTGTACCTTTACATGAAAGGTCTTGGGTCTTATTTTTTCCCCTTACCCTTGCCCCCCCTTCACCCCCTCCTCCCTTCCCTATTTACAAATACTTTATTTCCATTTTTTCATTTTCTCATATTTTTTCTTTTCCCTTATTTCCTTTCCTTAAGAAAAATTTAAAAGGAATAGAATAATAGTTTGGGAGATGAACAGGGGATAGTTAAATGACTTTTTAACTGACTTGTCTTCATTAAAGTATCATAGCTATTTTCTTCCAATACAAAATCATATTATAACAAGGATAATGAACATGGCAAATGGTATCTTGAGATTCTCACGCCAGTGACGGTTACACAATTAGGGACTGAGTTAATAACCTAGAAGTCTCTATTTTTTTAATCTCAAGTATTTGAAATGCTCTACTTACATAATCTCACCAAAGTAAGATATAGAAAATGCTGTTCACATACATAAAAGATCTGATGAGAAAGATCCAGTTGAGTGAGTTTACATTACGTCTTCCTGTGTAATGCTACAAGACCATGTACGATAGCTACAAGATAAAAGTTTTTCAAAGTGAGTGAAAGTTATTGTCTTAGGGTACATTAGGGTTTTCTCTTCTTTGTTAACTTTTTATTTGTGGAACAGATGCAAGATGTTGGCTATGTTAAGCGTGTGCTTTTACACTAAGCTAAGTGCCTAGCTATGTTTTGCCGGCTTTAAACTAGAACTTGTTGTGGTATCATCTGATAATATCTAGGAATTTATTAATACCAGAGAGGAATTAAAATTTTGGCGATACAATTAATTACACAGCTCACATTCCCCCTCCCTCACTTCTCTTTCTGTCTTGTTTTTTAAAGAATGAAATGAAGAATAGTCAAGGGTTTCAGCTAAGGAGATGCTAACTAGTATGTGACTAGTTTTGCTTCAAGTGTGAAATCTCTGGCTTTCTTCCTTCACATTCTTCTGTTACTCCTGGGCACCATGTCAGGAAGCAGAGACAAGTGGTGGGGTGCTGGAATAGTCCTGGTAAAACCTCTGAGATATTCTCAGCAAAATAAGTAAATTCCAATTCTCTAATTCAAAAACGTAAGTTAAAAGGAAAGCGTCTGCTGGTAACATAATTAACCCAAACCTCTGCCGCATCTACCATTGCTTTAATGTGCTCGACAGGGAGGTCAAAATAGTACTATGTGCTTAGGAATCTGAGAAATGGGATCTGGACAAAATAGTGATAGCCTCTGATCATCGGTTTTTCATCTTTGGTATTTAGAAGATGGTGTAAACTCTACCTGAGTGATAGATTTTTCTTTTCTGGTGTAACATTCTTGTCACTACTATTACTATCATAATAAATACAGCTAACATTTATTGAACACTCACCGCATGCTAGGCTCTATACTAAGCTTCACATGGAACTCATCACTTGCTGAAGTGGGTATTATTGCTTCGATTTTGTGGATGATGAAATTGAGGTACAGAGAGGTAGGGAAACTGACTCAAGACACAGGCAAATGGCTATGTGTTAACCACTAGGGCTCAAATAAGATTCAGATAAGCTACTGGCCTTAAGTAACTATACAAGCTCAAAGAAGCATTTGCTATTGAGAACAACCACTAATACTGATTTCCTTATTCTAATCGTTCCACTTAACCAAGTAGAAACAATTTCACTGGTGAATAGAACCTGTAAAAATGAGCAGTTCTTATTTACTGAAAACAAACCTAAGCCTTCAGCAGTTGAATCTATGAAGGATACCATCCTAGATAATATCACACTAGTTTAAAAATCCTCTCCTAACTACCCACAACCCCAATAAAACCAGATACATGCAGTTTAATTGGTACTGGCTTACTCCTTTTTAATCTTTCTGCCTGCACCGAACTAACATTTATCATAAATTACAAATCTGAGCTTTTATGAAAGAGGAATTAATTTTATTAGTGTTCTAATATACAGCTGCCGCAGAGAAGGTGCAATGGTTAAAACTGTTGGGCGTTCATCAGCCATGATTTATGGGGTCTGTAAAAAGGCGGCATTATGGGCGTTATCTGGATTGGCCATCTATTCTTGTTTTTGTTTTTTTAATGTAGACTGACTAGCAAGAAGGAATCAGGTGAGGTGAGATTGCTGGATAAAAAAGCAACAGCAATATAACATCAATTCATGAGAAAGTTTCATCAGAAGATTGCAAAGTCCTTTTACAATCCAGAATGTATACGCCTCATAAATTGTCTGCAGCAAGGGGTGCTTTTAAATAAAATGTCAAGCGGGTGCTTATGTAACTTTGTAAGGTGAGTGAAGGAGGAAGTAGCAAATGGCCTAGTTTCCGAGGTGAACCGAGCTCTTGAGCTGGAGGAAGGTGTGCTGGTCACACTTCATGCAGAAGGACGGTGGGTGTCTTTGAGTCATGCAGGTCAGCAAAACAATCCCAAATATGATGCAGCTTCTAAATGTGCTATGTGGTTTCATTGCTTTGTTGTGAGAGCTTTGTATTTAAGAAAGAAAGATTTTAACAGACATGCCTTAAATTAGACTACATATATAACAATACATTTTAATTTTGAAAAATATACAGCTGCAATTAGTTTTATACTTTAACCTGAATGAGTTAGATTTTAATTTTATGTGACCCACTTTTTACTTTTATAAAATTTGCATGAGCTTATGCTCATCTTATAAACACCAAAAAGTCCAAATTTAAAGTACAAAAAAGTAAAACAAGTATAATCCTTCTCTAAGAGAGAAAGTTAGTAAAATTTCATGTCTATTACCAAGTTCACTAACATTTGTAAAAGCAAAAGACATATCCAAATACCAAAACAATGAAGACAGAGGAGCTGAGTATCTCTGTGTTCCCTCTAGGAATTATACATAGAAATTTGTACAACTTCATTGTAACAACGCACATAGCTGCTACTTAGGCTTTTAGTAAATACTGGAGGAACCTGTATTACTCCCTTCACTGTTAAAACTTGGAATATTTAACTGCATAACTACACTGCAATAGACACTACAAGGAAACGTGCTTTAGGCCTTGTGAACAAGGACAAACCTGTAAAGTTCTGAATGAAATCAACTGTATTCTGGGAAGGGTGAACGAATTAGATTCTTGTTCCATGATATGCAGCAATGTTATTGGTAAAATACTGGTGCTGAGAAAACTTTTTCCTTTCCTTCCCTTCCCTTCCCCTCCCTTTCTTTGCTCTCCTGTTGCTTTCTCCTTCACCATTCCCTTCCTGTTGCCTTTCTTTCCCTTTCAAAATTTGAAGGGTGAGATTTAAATTGTATCACTCACCCTGCACATTGTTTCTAAACTGTTCTATAAAGGTCTGCTGGCTGATTGATAAAAAATCATTTTATACAGAGCTCACAATAAACTTCCTCTTGGTAGAGAGTGTATTAAAAGGTTTTAGGAACTAGGCAAAAATGAATTTCATAATTCTACACAGAATTTATATCCACTTCAAAAGTATTATATGGAGACTTCTCAAATTAAGACCCATTTACATTTTAACATTAATATCAACATACCATTTGGACACTGCTTGGGAAATACATAGTTGGGCTAACAAAAATAGAACTTTTATCACTCCTTTGGCCTCTATCTCCTCTCTAAGCACAATTTTTCTCTTAATTATAGGCAACAGATGGAAAACTACAAGCAAGTTTCAGACTTTTATGAAGCTGTGGTATACTTATTCTTAAAAATGGAAGGTGCAAATCTTATTTTTAAAAGATAAGAGCCAGGTTACACACCAATATAAAGTACCCTGCTCCAAATTCAAGGAACGTGCAAACCCTATGATTATGTGTCAATTATCAGAATGCTTTGAGAAACACTTATGGAACAGCTATGGAATGTAGGATCACATTTTGGCCTCTTAATCTGCTTTGTGGCTTTAATTAGTTGTGTCTTTTCATCTGGTAGTAGTAGTAGTTTCATCTAAACCTATCTAGTTGACATTAATAGATACTGCACCCATGCGTCTGGTCTATTTCCCCCCTGAAATTTATATAGACTATTTTAAAGAATTTATATAGACTATTTTAAAGAATTTATATAGACTATTTTAAAGAGTCCTGTGTGTCTAAAGACATGCCATCATTAGGAGAGCAAGCCCACCTCTCTTTAGTACAAAAAGCTGCATTGTGTTTGTAGCCAGCTGCATAATGTGAAGAGAGAGGGTATATTTGTGTTTGTTTTCTGTCAAGCAGTCTTCATCGGTAATACACGTCCCATGACTTTACATCGTTAAATGAAATTTAATCTGGTAATACTATCTATGTTTCTTTGGCTTTTGTCCCCTCTCCGTCAAATAACTACTAAGGTTACTTTTCGTCTCATTTTCTTACCTTTCAGACATGTCTTGCAGGTGAAAAAACTTTCCTCTCGCTCTGAGAAAGCTATTGTTCTGAAGACATTTTTCATCTCATTCCCAGGAGGGGAGAGGAGAACTGGCCACTTCTGGGGGTCTTCCATGGATTCACTATGACCAAGGAAACAAGCTGTTACCTAGCAACGTGGCCCTTTAGTAGGTATTGTTACCAATCTCTTAGAGCTCATCAAAGGAATTCCTGCGCTCCTGGAGCAGCATTAATTGTGAGTATTGTTTACAGGGAGTTGTCTAAAAGGTGACTGAACTGAATCTTTACTACAGAATATAAATGATGGCAGAGGGAATAAACATCCACAGCATGCCCCTAATGTTTACTGTCCTCTGTCTCATTAAGTCTTCAATTGTTTGCATCTGGCTGGGGTTTTGTTGACGTGACACTTCAGCAATGTGTGACTCTGTATCCAGTTTCTTGCCTCCCTTCTATAGTTTCAAAACTAAAAGAAGCAGCAAAAGGGAAGGTGTCTAATTCTTGCTCGAATTTAGCTCAAATAAAACACCTTAAAACCGGAGACAGGGAAGTAATTCTGATATGTTCACAATTAGGAAAGAATAATACTTGTATTTTAAAGCAAATATTTCACAATTTTGCACAGAAAAGGGAGAGAATATTATATTATACTGAATAATCATTTCTTGGTCCAACAAGTATGCTCAGAGTGCCTTAGATGCATAGAAGCACAGTCATTTTTTTAACTTCGTGAGAAAATACAACGAAAGTTCTGTAAACCTGCAACTTGCACCTCTCTTTACTCCAAAACTGAAGTTAGCCGCATTTTTTTCAGCTTTAATTGAGTTTATTGGTACATTTTAGGGATACAGTACAGTTACATCCATTGTTGGGATCTTGTACCTCTACATGACAGGTCTTGGTTCTCATTTTTTCTCCTTGTCCCTGCCCTCCCTTCACCCCCTCCTCCCCTCCCCATCCACAACCACTTTATTTCCATCTTTTCATTATCTCACATTTTTTTCTTTTCCCTTTTTACCCTTCCCCTACCCATCCCACCTTCCCTACACCTTTAGCTCCTTTCTTCCCATTTCACAATGTCAGTAATCTTATTAGGATCTTCTGTATTACTGCAGATTATTTACACCAGAGAAATTATTCGGTATTTACACATGTGTGCCTTATTTATTTCACTTAGGAGTATATCTTCAATATGTATCCATTTTCCTATGAATGAATCTATTTTCTCATTCTTTATGGCTGAGTAATATCTTTAAAAGCTAAGAAATTGCTACTTGTAAAAAAGCACAGTATTCTTCCATAGTAGTTTCTGCTTCGGAGAGCAAGATATTTGGGAAATAACTTTATTTAAAATCTAATTTCAAAACAAGATATTTGGCATTTATTTGAAAAAGCTCATGTTTTCCTTTCCTTCTTTGTTCTTCTGTACAGTAATAATTATTTATTAATGAAAAATGATTCTGTGACCTTAGAATATATTTCATATCAAAAGATTTAAAGCATAGTTTCTTGCACATTGTTTCTGTCAGAATGTCACTTTTATGTACAAAATGGTTCAGGCTAAAAATTACCATAAAATTGTCTATGCTAAAAAATATAGTTTAATGAATCTACTGAAATATTGCAAACTGATTTTTCTATAGAAATTAGTAATTTAAAAAAATAACTGCCAAATACCTAACGTATCTCAATTTTCTGAATATTTTTTCTATGGTAAAGACAGAGATAACAAATATCCTTTAGTCTTATACTTTTTCCTTTAGACCTTTCCACTATTCTTATCCTTTTTCAGCTTCTTAAGAATTTCCTCAAGTCCTAAAATTGTAGGCCAAGATTAAACAAAAGTTAATTAGAAAAATGAAGCTAATTACATTGGTCTTAACTAATCGTTTTAGTTTGTAGACCCCAGAGACTGCTCCTTACCTCTACCTGCTTCTAGAAAGAGCTATAAAACACTTCAGTGGCTGAACTCTGACGGCTCAAAATCAAATTGAAACCTTTTTAAAAATTCTAATGGCAAGGTCATGTCTCAAGTAAATGAATAAGATATCTGAAAGTGGGTGGACCAGTTAAAGCAATGCTTTAAAAGATTACCATTATAAACCCTCAGTTGCTCATTTACTGTCATCTTCTTCTGTCCATCAGAATGTAGTTCAAGAAATAGCACTACCATAAGTGGTCTTACCCTGGAATATAACCACTCACTTTGAGGTATTGTGTGGTAAACACAATAAAGTCCCAGATCCGTTCTCAGAGTCCCATCTCCTTTACCTGCTGACTTCCCTGATCTCTGCCTTCGTTCTTACTCTCACCCAAGCAGTCAGAAAAGAACTCCCACAGGGTATCATCAGCCACGCATTCAGCTACACATACCAGCCTGCCCATCTGCTCTGCTCTCCCCTCTTTATTAAGAATCTTTTCAGTGTTTTCGTTGTTTGATTTGTGGATTAGATCTTATCCCTTTCATCTTTAATTCAAAGCCATTTATCTCTAAATTCTCTACCTACTGCATTATGACTTTTTTCCTTCCCTGCTGGAGCACTCTCATGAGGATATAAATGTGGTGTAACATTTCCTATTAAAAAAAAAAACAAGCAACTCTGGCCCACTTCTCCCTTCATCTTCCGTTCCAATAGGTTGCTTTGCACGTACAGTATGACAGCATGTGGGAAAAATCTGAAAGTGTGATCAGTGCTTGATCCTTCCAATTCTTCTCTTTCTGGTCTCTCTTGAAGTAACAAATTTTTTCCTTCCATTGCTGCGTTGAAGCTACTTTGGACAAGGTCATAAATGCCTGTCAAGCCACTAAAATTCTTGGCCAATTCCTGGTCCTGGTTTTGTTCATCTAACGGCTGCCTTTGAACCACCCATTTACCCTCTCCTTTTGGCATGGTCTTCAGCTGACTTCTGGGACTTGCACTCCACCAGTTTTCTGTTTATTTCTATAGTCACTTTCGATGTTCCCTTTTCGTCTCCCCAGTCTCTTAACAGCATTGTGTCCAGAACTCAACCTTCAGAATTCTTTCTCTCTAAACTCTCTCCATCCATGATTCTTCTATCCAGTATTTTATGGTTTTAAAAAACTGTCAATATGCTAATTACTTTAAAATTTAAAACCCGAGTCTAGTCCCTCCCTTCCTCTTTCTTGAATTTCTGATTCATATATGCACTGTTTACTTGAAATTCATTTTGGATGTCTAATAAACATTTCAACCTAACCTTCAAAAAGTAAACTTTCTAATAAGTCAGCTCCTTTTACATTCTCCATCTGGTCAAAGCAAAACCCATGCAATGAATCTTCCTCAAGTAGTCTTTCTTTCTCTCTCAAAATCCACATGCCATTCATCATGAAACCCTACAAGCTCTACCTTCATGGTATATTTAGAATCGCACCTCATTCACCCCTCCTTGGCTACTTTCATGACACAAGAATCAAGCATTTGTTGGTCACTACAGCAGTTGCTTTACTGGACTCCTGCTTTAACAATACTTCCCTATAGATTATCTTCAAACACAGCAGGCAGCACACAGTGATTCTGTCAAAATACAAGTGATTCTTCTGTTTGAAATACTTTGTGATTGTACATCTCACAAAGAAGGCTTAAACATCTTTACAATGGACTGCAAGGCATCGATGTATCTGACTTTTAAAAAGCAATGTGTCGAAGTTTGTTAAAATGTCCATAAAACAATCGAGGTTTAGCCCAGGATTTAGCTCAGTGGTTCCATCGCCTGCCTCGCAAGCTCATGGTCCCGAGTTTGATCCCTGGTACCAAGAAAAAAAAAAAAAATCAAGGTTTGAACTGACTCAAGTTCTCTGACAACTTCCAAGTTGATTAATATAAATTAAGAATAGATAAGCAGGTGGTAAGTGCTAGTACAGAATTACTTAAAAACATTATTTTGTTTCTCTTAAGCCTCAGGATCAGTTAAGTAAGGAATATCACAAATTTGGAGTATGAGCTGTTTTTAAAAAGGCTACCATTTATAAATACTTATCTAAGCAATGGAGTACAGTATTTCCTCAATATTATAAAATGAAACAAAATATAGAATATATGGGTATTTAAAATAACGGCAGCAGACTACCGACAAGCCTTCTAATATTTCTTTTAAAAAGATGTAAAATTAAAAAAGGAAATTATATCTACAGAAAGCCACAAAATCAGCAGACTTTGAGAACACTTTGAAGATTAGAAAAATGTCAAAGTAACTGGGAATTTGAAAGCTCAGGCTGGCTCTTTTTTTTTTTTTTTTCTACCTTCATCCCACAGCAAAGCCTGAAGACAAACCAGGGAAAACTGGGAAGGTTGAAAGAAGAAGGGATCTAAAATTGGTCTAAAACTATCATCAGAAAGATTAAATTCATTCAAAATTTTAAAAATATTATAAAAGTGTTCAGGGAAATCAGATCAAAGATGAAGGGAAAATACTTCAAAGTGTATAAAGATGTAAAAGAACAACTGTCATGTACAGGGGTCATTTTGGAAACGTAGCTTCTTTTGAGGGAGTGGCAGAGACAAAAAGAAAGCAAGAAATGTCTTTTGGCAACTGAAAGAAGAATATAAAGATAAATGTTAAAATTGTAGAAGGCAAAGTAGAACAGACTGAATTAAAATCCTCATAAATCCTCTTTTTATGAATATAAGCACAAAGATCGCACATAGATACATCTAATACCTAGTACTTGTGGATGGGAAAGTGGAAGTAAGCCTGCAGACAGAATTAGGGTTGTGGCCACTGTTTGGATCTCAAAGGTTCATGTGTTAAAATCCTGGTCCCCAGCCTTCGATACTATTAGTAAGTGATGAGCTAAGGCTTTGTGAGTTCATCTAGTTTGGGGAGCAAGCACTCTAAGGGAATACTGGAACTTCAGCATCTTTCCCCCTCTTGCTCTTTCTCTTTAATTTCTTGGCCATTAGGTGAACAGGACTCCTTTACTATGTACTCCTGCCACCATGTATCCTGCCTCACTACAAGCGCAAATGCAATGGCCCATGGACTGTGCACTAAAGCATACAAAACTATGAGGTAAAATAAACTTTTCCTTTTTAAAATTTGATTAACTCAAGTCTTTTGTTACATAATGGAAAGCTACCACAGTTGCTAACTACTTTAAGACTGGAACATTTTCCTGGGTATACAGGCAAGCCCAGGGTAATCCCAAGTGTCTTTAATATGAAAGAGGGAGCAGAAGAGTCAATGTCAGAGTAATGGAATAGGAGAAAGACTCTCAGTTGGCTATTGCTGAATTTAAGGATGAAAGGAGACCATGAACCAAGAAATATAGGCAACTT